CTTTCTCTCTCCCCCCCTCTCTTTCTCTCTCCCCCTCTCCCGGACGTTCAGATCCCAACGTGTTGGCTTTTTTGTGTGAAATTATTATTATTATTATACAGGATTTATAAAGCGCCAACAGTGTGCGCAGCGCTTTACAATATAAGGAAGACATTACAATCACAATACAAGACAAGATGGTATGGAGGTCCCTGCCCCTGAGGGCTTACAATCTAAAAGGGGAGGGGCAAGTGATACATGAGGAGGGAGCTGTGTGGGAACGTGATGGCTCGGTGGTTAGGTTGAGGTGGGATAGGCTTGGTAGCATAAAATAACTTGCTGGGGGAACTCAAGTTAAAATGTGTGTTTTTGGAGGAGCATACCATTCTGCATGCTGAGAAGGGGGCGGATATTGCAGGGAAATGACTGAGACCTATAGACGTGCCACATAGAAGAACATCCCCTGCAGTGCTGTATAATGATCTCATGGCCGGAGTTATGTGATAGAAGTGTCTGCGATGTGTGGAACCCTGTGTGTGAAATTTGAGAGTGCGATCTGTACTCGGGTGTGCTCATCTGGCATTGGACAGGTTTGAGTTGCTTCTGAACTGCTTCTGGCATCTACCGGTGTTTTTACTTTGAAGGGGAACTAATAACTGGTTCGGGTCAATGGTCTTTTTTTTTTCCGGTTATACATTTTTAAAAATGTTTTTTTAAATCTGTTGAACTTTGTTTGTTACCTCGGTAGTATCTATAATCAGTTAATATGTGACAAAGGATTCCCAGAGCACTACGAGGAGACGGCATAGCAGACACTGTTAGTCTGTTTGTCTCTCTGACGGAGGTCAGATATATGGCTGAAGGGGAGGACGGAGGTCAGATACAAGACTGAAGGGTAGGACGGAGGTCAGATAGAAGACTGAGGGGAAGGACGGAGGTCAGATAGAAGACTGAAGGGGAGGACGGAGGTCAGATATAAGACTGAAGGGAAGGACGGAGGTCAGATACAAGACTGAAGGGTAGGACGGAGGTCAGATAGAAGACTGAGGGGAAGGACGGAGGTCAGATAGAAGACTGAAGGGGAGGACGGAGGTCAGATAGAAGACTGAAGGGGAGGACGGAGGTCAGATAGAAGACTGAAGGGGAGGACGGAGGTCAGATAGAAGACTGAAGGGGAGGACGGAGGTCAGATAGAAGACTGAAGGGGAGGACGGAGGTCAGATAGAAGACTGAAGGGGAGGACGGAGGTCAGATAGAAGACTGAAGGGGAGGACGGAGGTCAGATAGAAGACTGAAGGGGAGGACGGAGGTCAGATAGAAGACTGAAGGGGAGGACGGAGGTCAGATAGAAGACTGAAGGGGAGGACGGAGGTCAGATAGAAGACTGAAGGGGAGGACGGAGGTCAGATAGAAGACTGAAGGGGAGGACGGAGGTCAGATAGAAGACTGAAGGGGAGGACGGAGGTCAGATAGAAGACTGAAGGGGAGGACGGAGGTCAGATAGAAGACTGAAGGGGAGGACGGAGGTCAGATAGAAGACTGAAGGGGAGGACGGAGGTCAGATAGAAGACTGAAGGGGAGGACGGAGGTCAGATAGAAGACTGAAGGGGAGGACGGAGGTCAGATAGAAGACTGAAGGGGAGGACGGAGGTCAGATAGAAGACTGAAGGGGAGGACGGAGGTCAGATAGAAGACTGAAGGGGAGGACGGAGGTCAGATAGAAGACTGAAGGGGAGGACGGAGGTCAGATAGAAGACTGAAGGGGAGGACGGAGGTCAGATAGAAGACTGAAGGGGAGGACGGAGGTCAGATAGAAGACTGAAGGGGAGGACGGAGGTCAGATAGAAGACTGAGGGGAAGGACGGAGGTCAGATAGAAGACTGAAGGGTAGGACGGAGGTCAGATAGAAGACTGAAGGGGAGGACGGAGGTCAGATAGAAGACTGAAGGGAAGGACGGAGGTCAGATGTAGATGTTTCT